TTGCCTTCATATTAGGTACTGCTGCTGTGTACTCCGTGAATCCCAGCCTGTGCCAGGTCTCCTGGTATCTTGTGCTACCGTGTTCGTGGCCGGAAGGATGAGACACGCGACATGTGGGCTAAGAGAGGGCTGGCTGCAAGCTGGGTTGCGGCAGGCGACGGTCGGACTGCGCGAGGCGACGTCGGCCTCCAAGGCAACGAAGGGCAGCAGTTGACGCTTGCTCCCCGCAAGGGATGATGGAGAGTCCGCAGATGCCCACAGGTTGCAGATTCTCGCGTCGCTGCTCAACGAAGAAGAAATGAAAGCTTCTGAGGCTCCTGGCTGATCTTGGATGCATCTTGGTCTTGGATCGGCCTACCCAGGTACTTGTGGACTTCGGTGCTTTCGTGGCGTGGGTTGTCAGCTTGGAGCTACGCCGAGGCGGGCGTTCTCGGCCCTCTTTGTGCCTGTAGTTAAAAAAAGGTGCCCATTGGGGTAACAATAGGGTTATATTGGGGTCATGTGGGGATAATGGAAACGAAAATGGATCTATCTTCGGACTCCGGACGGCGCACAGGCAACTCGGTCCGCACATATCGCCGCTTGGACCGTCGAGTGAAGGCGGTAGTGCGCAGGCAGCTCCTCGTGTGCTTTTCTGTGACAGCTTCTGACAATTAGGTTGCAGCTAGATCAATGTCAATGCTTCCCACAACTGACCTCAAGGTCCCTCCTTCCCTGTAAAGGTTGCGGGCCAGGAGAGTGGAACTTTGTTTTCTCTCTGCCTGCAACACAGTGGGACCGCGGGACAAGCTTTTGTCCGTCACATTTTTATCTTCCTGTCAATCTCCGCTTGTGCTGAGACTTCGGATCTCGCTTGTGTCGCTGAAAAGGAGGAGGATTTCATGGTGCAGCATGTCCCGTTCAAATTGGCACGGTTTGCTTTGGAGCTTCTGTAAAGGACATGAAGTTCAAGCTAGCAGAGGCCTACTTGACTTGTGGCAGTCTCTGCTGTCTTGCGCCTTCCTGTGGCAGGAGCAGGTGCGAGCAGCTCTTGGAGAAAGCTGCCGCTGGCGGGTTGTCGACGGGCGTGTTGGTCTGAGATGAGCCATGCACAGTGGTATTTGCTTGTGGTTTTATGTGTATGCGGCAAGGTGCATGCGAGCTCTTGGAAAGGTGCAGAGGAGGCTACGTTTGAACAAGGCCGAGTCCATTTCAGCCAGGCTCCTCGAGGAAGTCCCTCGATCAGCGATTGTGCTGGGCGCTTGGGATGTCTTGCCTGCGTTCCCGTTGTTGGGTTCTCAGCGAGGTTAGGTGCAATGATGTTTGCCAGTCTGGCAGCAACGAAAGCAACGACATCCCACCCACCCTGATAATGCACTTGCAGTGATGATGCTTGTCGCTGCCCTTAGACTGACATTTTCCGCTTTCCAAAGCGATGAGCACGGGCCTGTGGTGCAGTGGTCAGCACGCGCAGTGCATAAAAGTGTTCCTCTTGATGCTCACAAGCTTTTTGCTGGGCATTGCGGGGTCCCCGCGACTGTCAGGTTTGGAGCAGAAGAGCTTCGCATCAGTCCGCCAGTGAAAGAATGGCTGCTGAATCTGCCAGGCTGGACGCATGAAGTTAATCGACTTGCTGCCTGTAGACCTAAAGACATCAACCTCTTTGATTTGTTTGTTGCCTTCCCCTCAGAGGCATTGATGCCGAGATCGGTACGGCTGCGGCTTTGCAACAGAGGCGGCACAAAGGCACAGGGCAAGCCTGGAATCATGTTGGTGCCATGCAGGCTGGAGTCCTTGGCCGAGGTCGCTGCCGCAGTGCACTCTGAAAGGTCGTGGCAGAGGGTTCGTTTGTTGGCTCAGGTCAAACCATGGGCAAAGCAGGAGGGGAGACCGGGCCGTTGTCAGGCAGTCTGGGGGAAAAATAGTGAAGACAGTGACGTGTTGCCTGATCTCGGTCGTGCAGGTCCAACCTCTATCCCTGGGTGCGGAATCGATTCAGCTAGAGCTTGACGGCAAAGATGTGGAAGTGCCAGCTGCGCAGATTGAGATGGCGAGGTGGCTAGCCGGCCAAGGCCCCATCAACCTCTGAAAGCCGGAAGCCGCAAAGGCACTCTGCAAAGGCACCCTGCTGGCAGGTCCGGAGGCGACGGCGCCGACCGCGACCGCGCAGCTGGCTGAGCCCTTTCCTTAAAGCTATGCACCTTGAATGATTCATGACGAGCGGTACAGATTTTGAAGCAAGCGTCCTCGTGCCTGGAGGTTGGGCCGCAAGATGCTGCAAGACGGCTCCTTGCTGCAGAAGCTTCAGGGCTTGCCTGCACAGGCTTGCACAAGTGTCATTTACCACTGATTTACTCCTTTAGTGGCGCCGACAAGTGTCATTTACCAATGATTTACTCCTTTTGTGACCCCGCCTGCTCATGTGACCCTGGGCACCCGGAAGGCGAAGGCTTGGCTGCTCGCAGCGACCTCAGAATCCAACGTTGCGCAACCCAGCCCAGATCTAGTGGCGCCAGTGTCAGCTGCTCTGCTCTGCATAGACTTCAAGGCTTAAGAGAGCAAAGTTGCTTTTGGAAAACATTCAGAGCCAGCATCTGCTGCAAAGGAGCGCGCTGCTCGAGGAGCCTGTGTCGGCAACTCCTTTGCGGACTGGGCCAGAGCCTTCGCAGAGCCCAGCTGCTGTGAAGCACATGGATCTCGAAGTCGAAAAGCTTCTTGCCATTCTTGCTTTGCTTCTTGTTCCTGCCATGTGCTCAAGCCCACGAGGTTAAAAAAAAGTTGTGAAAACCGCATCCAGAAATTTGCCAGCCATGGCAGCCGTTTTCCCGGCCAACCAGGTCATCGTCGTCGGCGGTGGCCTTGCAGGCATGTCTGCAGCCAACACCGTGGTGGAGAACGGCGGCCGAACGCTGCTGCTGGACAAGTCCTCCTTCTGCGGCGGCAACAGCACCAAGGCCACCAGTGGGATCAACGGTGCTGGCACCAAAACCCAGAAGAGCAGTTCCATTCCTGACAATGCCGAGATCTTCATAGCTGACACATTGAAAGGTGACTCGGTGCCGGATTTGGGGATTGATGCTGTAACGCCCTCTCTGGCGCAACTGACATAGGGC